CCAGAAGTGCTTCTCTTTTTCTTTATACCATCTTTTTGCATCCATCATGGTTTGTGTTAGACTATACTCTCTGGAGCAAAAAGCATCTTGTCTCCATGAACACACAAAGCCAACACAGAGGAGTCTATGTATGCCTTTGTTATGTGTATATTTCAACACTGAAGTACTTTCATTTCAATTAATGTATTCCATTTGATTCCATTTTGATTTTGCTCTATTATTAGATATACAGGAAGTTGAACAGATGTGTTCAGCTTAGCCAGTTTATCAACTTCGGCAAACAAATGAGTCAAGGGTAAAAAATAGTCCTTTTTGATCTGCACTACTTGAAGCTTCTGCTCAAAGCAGTGGACACGGGGAGGTGGGAAGCAGCTTCCACCACTGAGACTGGCACGAACCGTGCCTAGCAATCCAGATCAAGCCTAACTTTTTCATGTGGGTAAGAGCACCCTGTTCACCCTGGCTGGCACAATGCGCACCCCACATGCATGACACAGTCAGGAGGCCATAAAACTACGAAGGCTTTGAATCCACCACATTAGGTTGGGATTGCATCTGCCCTTATTTGAAGTTGCTTCTTTGAAGACTTGACAGTCCAATGCTGATGGGAATAAGGAAGTGAGGTTTCCCACTAATTTAATTACCATCCCAAAAGTAGATTTTCATAAAGATTTTACTCCTGAAGACATTTTTCACTGGCTGCAACAAACTGAAAATCTCAACAGATGTCAGAAAAAAAAAGACACGTCACTGGATTAATCTCAGGAAAAATGGTCGGTGGAAGGATGAAAGTACTGCCAGGATCCCAAGAACATTATTTATAATTCTTTTCATACTGCATTTGTTCCGTGGGCAAAGCTGTTAGTGAAAGTACCAACAAAGTAAAACCCTGACGACTGTTTTGAGAGGAGGAAGACAAGCAATATGACAGACAGACCATGCCCAGGAATATGCCAGCAGACACTTATGTGACTGAATTTTGCTCACCAGCTTTGATATGTCATCAAAGTCACTGACAAGTATTTATCTGCAAAGCAATCCTTTAATTAACTTTTTTTCTTTAACATAACTCTATCTCTGCTTCCAGCTAATGGCCTGTTAAATGAAGCTTAGCACTACCTCAATATTCAGAATGCATCAGTATCCAAAGCCTCTACTACTGCCCTACCTCACGACCTGCTTATTTATCTATAAATAAGTGACTAGCCACTGGTTAATAATAAAAATCCTAATAATCCTTTCTCACCAAAAGAAGCATGACCAGCAGGTTGAACAAGGTGATTCTACTCCTGTACTCTGTTCTTGTGAGACTCCACTTGGCACAGTGTGCAGTGATGGTGTCCTCAACAAAAGAAGGACATGGAGCTGTTGGAGCAAGTCCAGAGGAGGCCACAATGATGATCAAGGGCTGAAGCACCTCCTGTATGAAGACAGGCTGAGAAAGTTGGGGCTGTTCAGCCTGAAGAAGAGAAGCTGTGTGGAGACCTCAGAGCAGCTTCCAGTGTCTGAAAGGAGCTACAAGGATGCTGGAGAGGGACCTTCATCAGGGACTGGATTGACAGGACAAGGGGTGATGGGTTCAAACTGAAAAAGGGGAAGTTCAGGTTAGATAAAGGAAGAAGTTCTTTCCTGCGAGGGTGCTGAGGCACTGGAAAGGCTGCCCAAAGAAGTGGTAACTGCTCCATCCCTGGCAGTGTTCAAGGCCAGGTTGGATGGAGCCTTCGGTGACATGGTCTAGTGTGAGGTGTCCCTACCCATGGCAGGGGGTTGGAACTGGATAATCTTAAGGTCTCTTCCAACCCAAACCAGTCCGTGATTCTATGTATAAGATGATACCGGTCTTCTGAACTTTTCAAATTGAACAGACAACAAAAAAAATGAGTCTCTTCTGAGGTATGAGTAATTTTGGCAAAACTGGTGGCTTAGAAAAGCAAGAATACTTGACAAACATGACCCTTTCATCCATGAATGCTGTCTGAGTCTTGCTATGCAGGTCTTTTCCCCCTAAGTAACTGGTGGTTTTCAATACATTAGGAACTGCACATAAAGAGCCTAATAGCAGCTTATTTATCAAACCTGGGTGTTCGCTGGCACAAGATCTCATCGCTGTCTCTGTGTGACTGCAGTGTTTTGAGGTTAAGTAAGGTTGGATCTCATTACACTGGTCAGAAGTAGTGAAGAGTTGGACCTGTTTCAATCAGGTGCCCACGATCTGCCATCCTAAACAATGCTGTTATTCTGGTTCTTAGGATTGCTTTTTTTAAGTTATTAACTGTTAGACACATTTCTAGACTTATCTCTGTGGTGTAAAGAGTTAAGAGCTTTGTTTAGTTTTGTCTGTCCTCTTCTTCATTCTCCAACTGTTAACAAAAGCACCGGACTTCAGAGGAGAGGGGGATGGAAAACAATACACTTTAAAGCCATTTGAAAATGCTTAAGCTCGGAACAACCACATAATGCAAACCAGGCAAAACTCCTCTGCAAATATCAATTAATATTGTCTGATACTTTACAATCATTTTGGTATTTCTTGTAGGCATCTCTTTTTTTTCCTTTTTCTGTTATTTTTTCCAGAAAAGAAAAAATAAATCTGATTACAGGAAGAGGCTCTGCAGTGTAATGTGTATGAACACTCAGAAATCCTTCTCATATTGCAGACACTTGGAAGGTTCTCTCCTGAAGCAGCACTCGCTGCTGCTCTATAATGCATTTTCATAACCTGCAACTGGGATATTTATTAGGTTATTTCTTTTATTCTTTTCAAGGGAGGGAAAAGAAGTTCAAAGTTGCCAAACATGATGAACAAACTAGTGTGAGGTAATGTTTCCGAAATGTTCTGATATTACAGACAATATTAAAAGATGACCATTTCCAGGGACTGTTTTATTGCCCCAGGCAGCAACACAAGTTGCACTGTTTCCCCAGTTGTTTACTGGTTCTTGCTCTCAGTTTCTATGCTGGAAGTCCCACTCCTGATAAATCACAACCTGCTTAACTGACATAATTATGGGCAGTATAATAGAAAGCTGATTCAAGAGGAATAAAACACATGATCATTCCTATTGCTCTTTTTTAAAGTCACTGTAACTTCATTAAACTCCTATTACTGACTAGTGCAGAGTGTAAAGAACTAAAAAGCAAACTGATTTTACGGTTGAGAAATAGCTTCCTTAGAGCTAGCAGCTACTTAAACCTCAAATGAAGATAAGCTCACAGCAGGTCCAATGCATTTCAACGTGTAGCTGTGTTTTAATTTCCTTAAACCACAGGACATATGTCACAGTTTAATGTCTGGACTGAGAGATTCTGTGCTGATAGTGATGCAGAGTTTTAGACCCTGCAGTTCCCAAATGCACGGTGTGCCACAGGAATTCAACAGAACTGAGGTGATGATGCCCCTTTGCTCGTACAGGGTTCACACCTTCAAAGGCAGGAGTTTAGTTGTCATGTTTGCACTCTCTTCTTTCTGAGTAACAAGAGTATCTTGAACACCACCAGCCTCCAAAACCATTTCCCTTTTTCATCCTACCTTTGTAATTATTTTCCAATTTCCTCTCACCAACCTCACAATGATTCTTGTTGACCAAGACATGGAGTGTCACCCATTTAAATCTCTTACCCACTGAGCCTTTCCTACAGTGATACTCTTTCCAGAGAGCACTCAAGCCCACTCCCCAGTCTATTTCCACCACATCCCATGTCTACTTGCACAACCACTGAAGAACATTCTCTGTTTGCTCAGAACACTTTAGGTGATTCTGCTACTAAAACTTTTAAATCAATACCTAGAAATCTATTTGAAGTATCTTTGTGATTCTTATAATTATTATCATGGAATCATCACGTTCCAGTTGAGCAACCACATCACAGCATAAACAGTAACACGCACAGGATGAGGAAAAGCAAAGAACTCAAGCAGCTTTTCCAGAAGTTCACAAACTTGCTGAAGTGGTCACCTCACTTCAAATTCCACTGATGCACCTACACCCTGCCCTTCCAACAGTTAAAACAGCCACTGAATGAAAACTGTATTTAACTACAGACATGAAAGTAAAAAGAAAGCAGCAGCTGTTGAAGACCACTCAGAAACAGGTATATCTGAATTTTGATGGCTATAAACAGACCATGGTGTTACGTACTCTTGAGCTTATCGCTGACATCTCCGAACAATACCACAACCTTTCCCAACTGTTATTCAGTGGAGAAAGAGAAAATCTCGGGAAAAGGATCTTCAGCAACTCGCAATTAATAAAAAATAGTTAATCAGTTTTTCCTTTCAACCCAGGCATCACCCCAAGCATCTCTAACACAGCTGCAATCAGCCCACAGAGTCAGTAGCTACAAGTCCATGTATTTCTTTCCATTTGATTGCACTGTTTTACAGTATCATTGCTGTATTATGTTCTGGTCAGTAATGTTTTCAACCATTTCATGCTGGCAAATCACTAAGTACCTACTTTACAGAATGTAAAAACCTCTGTCACATCTACTTCAAGACCTTTAAGGTGTTTCTGCTGTTCAATGCACTCTTCAAATTCACTGACAGATTGTTAAACTAAATCTGCCAGTTTGTTTCTTAACAAAAGCACTTGATGCCTTTAAGCTTCTCCAGCCCTTTCACTTCCCTGTATTAATTCTAATTCCCTTTCTTTATGCATTCATCCGACTGGAATGTCAGGGAGGAACAATTATTTGATTGGTTTTATTCATGAACAGAATAACAAGTTATCTGCAAGGCAGCAATAATGTGCTAATTTTAAACTATACATAGTCTGGAAACTATACCTAGTCTGGAAAACAGAATGTACTTAACCTTTATATTGCTTATTTTAGGTTAGAAGATAAAACTCTCTATTGGTGAAGGCTTGATGGAGTTGTGAATTTTATACTTTTTATCCTTTACAGGGAAAATTTCCATAATGCTTCAGCATCAGATGATACCAATACATTATAAAAACAAGACAGACAATGTATAGGCTTAGCATCACTTACAAACTTACCTGCTTTTCCATCCTGGTTGAATCGGCAGTACTTTGAGTGCTCAAGCAGAGGCAGACATTGCTCAATAGGCGTCCAGACATATGTCTCTGGGCACAACAAGTCAGAGGGCCTGTACTGACCCTGGAAAGGAGAGAAGAGAAAAAACAAGGAGAAAAAGAGAGTCATCGTATCAGTTGCACAAGAACACTCTGGCTAAAGCTTTCCAGATTTTCCTAGGAACAAGGAATAGGTTTAATCTAATCTACACCAAATGAGTCAGAAACGGCTCCACTGAAACTGAAATCACAGCCTTACTTCTTCAGTAATTTCAGCACCATCCCAGCAATACAAGCTTAGCCTTGGCACTTGATGAAAACGTAAAATTAACATAACACATTTTTATGGTATCCAAGATGAACTGGAAAGGTTTTGGCTTTGCTGACTGAAATGTGGTATTTAAGTTATCCTCTAGAGCTCTGCTGAGCTGGTGCCGACACTAAAGAACTCAGCACCTCCAAAAGCAGCTCATCTCAAGCGGTGGCAATTCTAGCAAATAATGGAGACCAAACAGAAAGTCCTAAGAGAAGAAATAAAATCACTTAAGAGTAAGCAGGATGCTATTTTTATTGCATTAGTGAGGGAGCATTTTGGCCATTGCTACTTGAATAGTAACATTTTCTTTGTAACTCATGGAGTTTTTCCTGGAAAAGCTTACAGGTAATGAACGATTAGTGAAATTCTACCATTTTCCCTTGATTTATTAAAAAGATATTCTTTGCAGACATTCCCAGAAACTAAACAGCCACCATTATGTTCCCTTCAGCTGCAGGGAAAATCACCACCTCAGCAATAACCACCTCCTCTAATCAGATCTTCATTTGATTTGAAATAAGATTATTCATCGGCCTGTAACTTAAGTCAAAACTCTATCTTTGAACCATTATTCATTTTCTCTATACCCTCCCAACGTGCAGAGCCATAAGATGGCAACAGCAAATTCATTTTTAAACTGAAAATTCCTTACACTTATCAGCTTGAAAAAGACATACACTAAATAGAATGAAAAAGTTTAAGGCTCTCAATTATATAGATCTTCAAGGAACAGCTGAAAGAGTGGGCATTATAGGGAGTCATGCTGTAGTTGATGCTATTAAGAGTTCTTCTTATCACTTACTTTAAATAGGTAATGAAGATGATCATCATGATGTCTAGTTGATTTTTTTTTTCAGTATCTACTAAGAAAATAGTAAAGTGGCCTTGAAAGAAGCTGACCAAGGTTTGGGGAGGGACATAGATAAGCACTGTGACTACAATCTGGTGACAAGGACTTAATAATTTACAGTTGCACTGACAAGCTCGCTGTGCTGGTAGACAAAATCTTATGCAGCAATACACAATTTAGGAGAATCAGAATAACCTTTTTCTTAATGTTTGCAGAGGTTCACAATTCTTCTTATTCTTTTAATGTTTGACTCTTCCCAGCCTTCCAGTACCCAAAAGGGCTCCAGGAAACCTGGAGAGGGGCTTTGGGCAAGGGCCTGTAGGGACAGGACAAGGGGAATGGCTTGAACCTGCCAGAGGGGAGAACAAGATGAGCTCTTGGGCAGAAGCTCTTCCCTGGGAGGGTGCTGAGGCGCTGGCACAGGGTGCCCAGAGAAGCTGTGGCTGCCCCATCCCTGGCAGTGTTCAAGGCCAGGTTGGACACAGGGGCTTGGAGCAACCTGCTCTAGTGGAAGGTGTCCCTGCCCGTGGCAGGGGTTGGAGCTGGATGAGCTTTAAGGTCCCTTCCAACACAAACCAGTCTGGGATTCTGTGACATTTACAGTAGAATTAACATTTTTACCTTGTATCTCACACCAACTGTAAATTGTTGAGTAAGAAATACAAAAATTATCTCTGATAAGAACAAAGTCATAACTGTCCACATGAAAAAACCCCAACCAAACCCAAACCAAGCTTCGTGCTGAACACTGTCAAATACCTGATGTACCTCTCTGAGTCTTTATGACTCTGATTTTCTCATTTGAAAAACACTCCTTGTTGCTTTTTGGGTTTGGTTTTTTTTTTCTTTTTTTAATTAAATGCAAATTTTTGTGTTAAATTAAAACAATATTCCTCCCATTCCATGCAGAAGCTTAAACCTCCAGGCCTTAGAAAATCCTCTAAAGCCAGGGAATGGAAATGACATTATTAAATAAACCCCTTTGAAATGTTACGCTATGTCAACAGAAATAGTTGAAAGGTATGTGAAGGTAATGCTTAAAGAACACTTTTAGTCACCATTACTCAAACGAAACAATTTAAGGACTTGGGGAGAAAAAATAAGCCTTTTCAGTCAGTTAAAAAGACAAAATAGAACATAAATTCTTGTTGATTTAAAGACACTTTCTCAACTGGCCAAGGCGGCAGAAATAGCCAAGTAACCATCATTCAGAGCTGTTGCTTAAGCACAGTAAGTACAAGGTGGCAATTTAGTCTTTCCTAGTTGTATGAGTATTCTCATGGCTGTAAGTAAAGATTGCTCATCCACAGTTTTCCTACAAGATACTGCCCCTACATCTTGAAATGCACCACGTTTGTGAATCCAACACGTGAAAATTGTTTCACTATGCAGCTCTATTCTAAATTTCCCAATTACTCCTATAACATCATGTTCTGTCATAAAATGGGATGTGCTGTGAGCAGTCCTGGTGTCCCAAATGTAAGAAGGACAGGGAGCTGTTGGAGCAAGTCCAGAGGAGGCCACAAGGATGATAAGGGGGCTGGAGCACCTCCCATATGAAGACAGGATGAGAAAGTTGGGGCTGTTCAGCCTGGAGAAGAGAAGCTGCGTGGAGACCTCAGAGCAGCTTCCAGTGTCTGAAGGGGGCTACAAGGATGCTGGGGAGGGACTCTTCATTAGGAACTCTAATGACAGGACAAGGGGTGATGGGTTTAAACTGCAACAGGGGAAGTTCAGGTTAGATATAAGGAAGATGTTCCTTACTGTGAGGGTGGTGAGGCACTGGAACAGTCTGACCAGAGAAGTGCTAAATGCCCCATCCCTGGCAGTGTTCAAGGCCACGCTGGACAGAGCCTTGGGTGACATGGGCTAGTGTGAGGTGTTCCTGCCCACGGCAGGGGGTTGGAACTGGATAATCTTAAGGTCCTCTCCAACTCTCCCCATCCTATGATTCTATGTATAAAAGTAACCGTATTGCAGGATTACTAGTTTGGTTCTAACAAGAAAGAGCTTCTTTAGTACTGGGCAAAAGAGTAATGGCAAGAATAGATTATCCAATCCACCGTTACAGTTTCAGTCTTAATTTTGGGTAATCAAATACCTTACTTCGGAGG